CTTTCCCTATGTTCTTGTTGTCAACAATGCCCCTTTCTGGAGTGCTAGTTGAAGCGTCGCCAGTTTTTAGGCTCCTCTCCGTCGTGGTTCCTCGGTTGCGACTTCCAGACCCAACTTCCTCGTCAAAGTGTTTGCTCCGCTCAGCATCTTCATCTGCAACATCAGCACGGCGTTCCTCTTCTTTATCACCCCTGCAATAAAAGTCAAACGGCGTAGTAGTCGTAATAGTCAGCCGACTAGCATGAAAAGTAAAACCTGTAACACAGCATGTAAATGGCAAAAAGCAAGTTGGTGGCATAACCCTGACCACAGTTCTATTTTTACCACATAGTACTGCTATAACATTCTTATACCTAATACTAGGAGAAAGAAGGGTAGATTAAGAATTACGTGCACCAAAGTCGTTAGGAAAGACATTTTAGATCTAGGCCTTCAAGAAAGTTTAATTTCGAACAGAGTTGTGTGGAAAAGTGAAATCCATATAGCCGACCCCAATTAGTTGGGATTAAGGCCTGTTGTTGTTGTTTTGTTGTAGTACTGCTATAACATGATTATACCATTTCGTCAGACTTGAAATAGAGTTTGGAAATAATCATAGTTTGATCATGTTCATGAACATGCAAACAAAGCACCAGCCCATTCTGTATCGCGGACAATTTCTAAAGCGTAAATAGATAACTTTAACCTTCTTTTTTTTGGGGGGGGTTTAAGAATAAGAAATACATACCCCGAGTAGATAACAAGACCAACAACAACAGCAGCAAATGCAAAGAAATACATCCAATCGACCTACAGAAGAAGGCAATTTATACTCATAATCATGATTACACATTCAATCATGTTTGTAACTCATCATAGTCTTGTCAAGGAAAATGATGAAAATGAAATTGGTATGAATGGCTCACAAACCTTCTCGTGGTAGGCAAAGATACGAATTATAACGGCCCACATGTCCGAGGTGAGCAAGGATAGATTTAGCATTGTGGACCCATTAATCTGCAAGAGGCATCCAAATTTCAATAAAAGAGATTCTCAAAGAAACAAAAGTCAAAAGACGTCCCAAATATTATTCTTCTCTTACTTCGCTACTGAACATTTGTGCCTAAGATCTAGGTTAGCCATAACACGACTCTAACTCCTGAAAACAGAGCCTAGAAACTTCAGTTACAAATTACATACATTCATAAAATCATATAAAGAGGCATAATAATACAGAAAACATGTTTGTCCGCAAGTATCGAGTGAACTGAAACTTTTTATATGTTTTTCTTTGGTCTTAAGCTGGTAGGAGCTGAGATAATTGGAGAAAGACAAAAAATATCCATCATGAACTATGAACTGCTCAAATTTAGTGTTAGTTTGCCAATTCTCCAAGATGTTGAAGCTGGTAGGAGCTGGGTAACAGTAACAAATATTACATAATACTCGGAAACCATGACAGAGAGAGAAAAAGGAAAGAAGAGAAGATGAGGAATAATAAAATTTGGACTTAAAAAAAAAAAAAAAATCATCATTCAACCCGTATGTGGACATACCTTAAGCAAGACCGGTACGAGAGAGTAAAACAGAAACATAGCCACTGAAAATCCCACAAATGGAAGAGCCTGAAATAACAACATCAGCAAAAGTGAGACAATAAGTCATATGCAATTCAAATTACAAAAAGGACAATGTTTCATCTCCATCTCCTACTTATTTAATCAAATAAAAAAATCCACTGCATTATTATTCTAGTGTCAAATGAACTTTGCAGTCATAATATATTCACCACTTTGTTCTTATGATTACTGCGACATGATCTGAAGAGAGCGAGTGTGACATCATTGAGCAAAATGAACCAGGAAAATTTTTTTATGAAAAGAGAAAGCAAACGGAAAAGCTATAGTTAGTGGGCAATTTTACTATTTTAAAATGGCACTGGAGGAAGAAAAAATCTTTTCGTTTCTTTTTTTTTTTTTAATTCCTCTAAAATTAATTCATCTGAAGGATCAAAATTAGTAGCAGAAATACAGCTCATTTTTTCCCTCTTTTTTTCCTTCATAAGGAAAAAAGAAAGAATTTAGCATTGAGTGTTATATGCAACATTTAAATTTAAATTTTTACTTTTCTCCAACAAGTTTCAGTAGCAAAGCTCTGCGAAAGAAAAACTTGCATTCCATATGAACCATATTTTCTTAAACAAGAACAATCTGAACCAACATGCGACCAATTTAATAGAATTCTGAATGTTTACATCCTACAGGTTTCATAGAATTTCATATTTGGAGAGGGAGACTTACTTCCCCAGCAGACCAATGAATAGCCTTGAGATTATCCCGCTCTAATATGCTTCTGAACAGATTGTTAAGGGCTAAAACTATAATATGGAAGCATAAGTTACATAGATACTTCAACTGCGTAGTTTTCCCTTCTAATGACATCACTTAAATATAATTAAATCGGGTTTCAGGATAATACATTGAACTTAAAGCTACCGCTGTTCTTGATCAAAGGACATTATACAAAGTATAAATGGTAAAAGAATTTTAAAAAAAATAATAATAATTTCCCATAATCTATGCACAGTTGATATCTTAACTAGTTCTATTATCTTCATCTAAGCAGGAATTTGTCTGCAAATTTCTGATTTCACTTGAGACTGCCCATCTTTAGAAAGGCCAAAGTGTAAGAAATTAATAACCGGATGCAATGCAACGAGAAAAAGAACTTCCCGTCGCACAATAAAATGAAGGATACACTTGGATAGCGCTGACAATGGCACCAAAGAGACCCAACATTGACATGAGTTCAATCCTGTCAGCATTCTTCACAAGAAATTCCTGCATTGAAAATGAGACTGAGAATTAACTAAAAGAAATCTTGAATTGCCTGGTGGGTAGTACTGCAACTTATTTGATTTTAAATGGCACGAATCTTTTTTCTTTTTTTTTCTTTTTTATTTTGAATGATTGATCATAAATTCTGGGAACCTAGAGAAAGTTCTACATCTCAAGAAATCTATCCAACCCCAAAAGTTTAAGAAGAGATTACAAAGGAAGAAAAGTACCACCGGGTTCTAAAAATAAAAGATAAAGCTATAGACATGCAGATAGAGACAAGGACAGAGGGACTTTTGGAATTGTTCATAAAAAGAATAATTCATGAGGTGACGACTATTTGCAATGCTTCCACAGCCAATTAAAAGGTGGAAACAGGAACAATTTTGAGTTCATATAATGATACACAATGTAATAAGTGATGACGGCTCTTTCAGAGCCAAACGAGGGGAACTGAAACACAACTTCCTCTAATTGATAAGGCCAAACACGAGGGATATGGACAACAAAGGAAAAAAAGAGCAAAAAAAAAAAAAAAAGGGTCAAGGCACGTTTTCAACTAAGAGGGATATGTTCACGGCATGCTTTCCTTCAACTATTTCGTTTTCCTGCTCAAAAATAAGGGAGGGGGATAAACACACAAACTGGAAGAGAAAAGGTAACAAAGAGCTATTGCTATAAGAAACTAAGCAAGATAGGCATCGAATACATTCTGATATAATACTCAAAAGAGGCCAATTTAGTTACCTCGCTAACATTACTGACAGCATAGAGTGTCGCACCAGCTATAACAAGCACATCCCCTTTCCGGGGGTTACTCCCTCCTAGAAGCCAAAACAGTGCATACAATATCAGATAACTGATTACTAGAAACAGACATGTTATAATACTTTAGCAACAGAGTATTTAGACATGACTGCGAAGCATGCAAAATGAATTACACATGGAAAGCAACGCTGTCCATAAGGCAAATTACCTGCTCTGTCACCCGCATGAACATCTGAAAAGATGACAATGACAAGGCCGGCAATACAGACAATAACACCAGTTATCTTTCTGAATCTATATTTCGTTTTCAAGAAGACCCACGTGAGAAGCATAACGGTTGGGATGGACCAACAATCAAGCAGCATTACACTTGTAATAGATGTATACTGATAGGCCTTCACCACTGCACATCATATGGCAAGTAAATCAGGTGTCATTTATAATCTAGTAACTTAAAAAATGTTAAGCAAAATCAAATCTCTTCTAGGTACGCACGCCTAGGGAGAGCATAGATGGAAATTACACGCTTGACATGGATGGTTAGAAGAGTTTGACAGAATCTATTTTGAGCAAAAAACATTAGATTAATATGTGGAACACTGATACAAATTTTCCTTTTCTCTTTTCTCTTATGGCAGCCATAAAGTCATGCCCTCTTACCCTAACCCACAAAATCCAAAAACAAAATGCAGTAGCCAGAAATAAATTAGTATATTCAGAACAAAGGAATGATCTCATCAAGAGATGTTTTACGGAACTCCAAAGAAGAGAAGTGAAGGCACAACATATTTCCCACACACAAATCCTTGTCATGCAACGTAGAACAAACAAGTTATTAACTGAATTCAAGATCAAAATATCACGGTGAAAAAATCTGTTGTGATGAAAAAATCTGTTGAATGTAGACAATGCATCTGATATCAATCTGGAAAAGAAGAAAAAAGGAGCCTCAAATGGGGGAATAAAGGATGCTACATCAATATTTTAAGTTGGATAACTAAATTATTTTGTATGTAAAATACAGCTCAGGGTTTCAAATAAGAATATATATAAGAGCAGATATGTATTTGTGACTTGGTATGTGTTTGTACAGATACACATTATCAAAGACAGCACAGAAGCATACAAAAGAGAGGGGAAAAAAGGCCAGAGCTTGCTGTCGCAGAGCATCAAGTACACTTGAAAAGACATCGATATTGGTATACTCACCTAGAAAATTGGCCTCAACATCCACCAATCCAAGAATTACATAATAATACCATTTCGCCTACACAAATTGAGAAATCGATCAATAAAATTACTAGATACTTAAAATAAAGAGAAAAAAGAGGGTCTCCAGATGATAACTAATTTGAGAACCTAGAGAATGACATCTCAATGGGGGCAAGATAACATCCTTTTCGTTCTCAATTCAGATCCCCCAGAAGTTAACCAGGACTTGCCTTTAGGTTCTTCAACTCCTTATATATTCTCATGATAGAAATATCAATTTCAATGTCAGAGAAATTTAATGATTCGACTTTGAATAAAACCATTAAGTATACGACCACTGTTTAGATTCACCTTATATTTTCCAACTCTATGTCTATCACTATCACCCTTCCCTACTTCTTTTCTTTATTCAAATAATGGTATAAAACATACGAAAATTCTTCGGTCCAATCCAGATCCTTATCATAATTTCCTCGACTGATTTGACTGATTGGTGTGATTGTGCAAAAGGTTTCTTAATGTCAACTAGGTGATCGCTCAAATTTCATGGACTAAATTACATAGCCTTTAATACAGAAAGCATAGTTTTGTAGGTTACCCACGGTAAAACTTCTAAAGAACCAAAAACCATTTAAACAAAACAATTGCAATCAAATCCAAACATGTAAAATACACTATTTGCAACACAAAAGCAACTAGTTGATGCATAAAACAAACAATAACCTTGAGTGGTTTCCTTCGATGGAGCATAATACTTCCATAGACAACAGCCAAGAGCACATAGTTCAGAAATGACTGCGAAGTTGGTGCATCAATTCCTACAAAAACAAGAACAAAAAAAAAAATGATTAATTAAAACACTCTCTCGTTAATGCTCAGCAAAAGGCACAAGAGCTTATTTGATGAAACTTATACACTACATACACTTATTTCAGATATTAGTTTCCACTAATTAAAATCTTAAACATTAACAAAAAGTTGTTATTCCCAGTTAAACATATTTGCACAAACCTCTATAAGAAAAAAAAAAAAGCATAAACTTATGCTTCTGGTGTGAAGTACTCTAGAATATAATGTTCTTCTGTAACCAGTAACATGAATTAATAAGAAAAAAAAAAAAGTACAGTTCATTGCAGGACAGTTTATTTTTTTTTTAACTTGCACAGTACTCCCGTAAATATGAATGACACCAAAAAAAAAAAAATTGAATTGAAACAAATAAATTAACAAATAGAATATAGAATGGAGCCAAAAAGAGAACCTTTTTTGGAAAGTTCAGAAGAAGAGAAGCCAGTGGAAGTGATCAAAAGAGAGAGAAGCTGTCCCAGCCCAAGACCTACCAATGTCTTCTTCGTCCAAAACTCTTTATAATTCACCATTTTCTTTTCTTTTCCTTTCTTTTTTTTTCTCAAAAAATGGTACGCAAAAAGAATGCTTTTAGAGAACCCAATTCAGTGTTAATGACGAAGAATTCATCGACCCAATTTCAGGGACTAAATTTTGATATCATGTGAAATCAAATAAATAAATGGAGAAAGGAAAAAACCCAAGTGTGAGTTTTTATCAAGGAATCAAAAGTGAAAAAGAAAATGATAAGAAATCGGAAGAACAAAAAGAAAAAGAACGGCTGAGCGGAGTTACCAAAAACAATTCCATAATGGGATCTACTGCGGCCGTTCAATGTTGGAGAATGTTTTAATCCAAATTGACTATACAACTTTTGTTTGCCAACTCTTTATTTATTTTTATTTACTTATTTATGTTTTGGGTCACTATCGTTTGGTTTCAATTCAAAAGGACAGAGAAAAGAAAAATAAGAAATTAATAGAATTGTAAATGCAAATAAATGTTAAGCATAAAGAAAATTATGAGCTCAACTTATGTACGGTCAAATTCAGCTAAGTCTTGTTTTCTTCTCCGATAATATTAAGCCATGTCAACAAGTTTTGGCTAAAAAAAAGAGTCAATTCAATACTTACTTCTGGATTTTAAAGTTATTCAGAGATTGTGAACTTTAAAATCTCTTATTTTATCTCTTAGAATTTTGTAATAGTCTCCCTTTTTATCTAAAAATAATCTAATGGTTGTTAGAATTTCTGCTTAAAACAGATAAAAAAAAAAAAAAAGAGAGTTAAGGGCCCGTTTGTTATTATTGCAATTATTTTTACTTTTTTTAAGAAAACTATATCACATCAGGATGTTTAGTAAATTTTATTTTTTCCAATAATTTATAACAAAATGTGATATTCACTAAATAATCTTAATAAAACGTAATTCTCAATTTACCCTTTTTCCATATCAAATTAAAAAATATATTTTATTTATTTATTTAAAAATTAAAAATCACTAATTCTTGTTTAAATATCTTTGATAATTATCAATATGTTTAAAAATAACAGTAATAAATAAGAAATTTAGTATGTCTCCTTAAATAAAAGTAATTTCTTACCAAAAGTATTTTAGATAATAAAATTAAAATTATATTAGTATTTTGATGTCAAATTGTAATGAATATTGACATCAAAAACAAAAATAAAATAATTATTACAAATATATGTGGTTAAAGTATGTTTATTTTAATCATTATACATCTTCACAACAATTTAAGACATAATTTAGCAAACACCTAAATTTCTGCTTTCTGTGAATAGTATTCACAGGAGGTTTGAAAAAAAACTACCAAATACCTTCATACTTCTGGTCACATCAATCTCTAACTAACAACATTTTCAACAACATAATAATGCTAAACTAGCTCTAAGTATAGTCATGTGTTCTCTTTTCTGTTTGTTTTTATCAAGGGAGGTGGGATAAGTATTAAAATTTAGCTAGATTAAAGTAAGAGTTTTAAAATCAAGAAATAAAGTGAGAATAACTCTAAAATTTGAGAGACACTAATAAGAATAATCCTATAAGAGCTTAGAGTAAATTTTGATAAAATTTCTTTGTCTTGACAATATTCAACGAATTATGTGATTTTTTATTTTCCACATTGTAAACAATAGGGTAGCCCTAGGTTAAATTTAGGATTGGATTGAAACCATTCTACATGAGAGCATTCTCTCATAGAGAATGAAAAAAATACTTCGGGTCCGGTATAAGATAAATGTTTTACTAGCTAGTCACATCATTATCATATCATCATATATTAAAAGCAAAAATTTAACAAAACTTAATAAAAGTTTATCCAAAACATTTAGTAGAAAAATAATTTTTTAGAGTAGGTATTTTAGTAGTGTGTGTTTGTGCACATTACATTAAATATATGATTAAAATCATATCAAAATTAAGAAAGTATATGAAACTAATAGTTTTTAATATAGATCTACGATTAAAAATAAGACTTACCATAGAATTTTTCTTATTAGAAATGTTTTATAATTAGTAATATATATTATGATGCACAATGCACAGATGCAAGTGTTGTTGCTGCATCGAGTGCCATAGGAAAAAAAATCCTTCAAATAAAATAATGCATATGCAAACATCATTGACCTTTTAATCAAATAAATAAGAGAAAAAATCCCACAAATAAAATCCCACATAAATAAGATTGAGAACTGAAGTGATTGGATTTATTGGTGTAAAAGAGCTTGATGCACAAGCCTTTTTGACTTGATTCCCTCGTTGGGTGTTCGATAGTGGCCGAAGCATATAAAGATGAGGGAAAAGTCACATCCCAATTTGTAAAAAGCCCAAAAGAATGGGGACAGAAAGCCTCTTTTCATTGTGGTGCTAGGTGGGTTGTTGAGTTTATTTTATTCATTATTTTTGAGAGTTTTGTTTTTGGTATGGTGTACTTTCAGTTTTACGTTTTTAATTTGACTATGTATGTTATGAACCTATGGAGTAATTGTATAAGTTCTATCCGCGTGTTAAGTTTCGATTATCATGTTATTATTTTGAGAAAATTATTAAATTTTATCTTTAAAGTGTATGCATTTGGATATATATCACTTATTCTTAATTAATACACTTTTAATTAATATAATTATTTGACTTAAAATGATATTAATTAAGAGTAAGGGTTAAAATTTTATACCCATGCCCTCCAAAAGGTATTTATCTCATTTTCTCTATTAGTTTTCAAAATTTAGTTAAGAATAAAGATCTTAGTTAGTTGTTACTTGTTAGTGCTTTCATTGCAGGAAAGTAGATCACATGAAGAAAAATTGTAATGACTACGAGGCCTCTAAAGGCAAAGGAGGTAAGTGTAATCTTTTGATTTTTGAGACATGTGCAGTTGGAGAATCCAATGATGTTTGGGTAATAGATTCTAGAGTAACAAATCATGTGTATGTTTCTATGTAGGCGTTCAAGCAAACAAGAAGTCTTCTGAATGAAAGCTTCATGTTGAGGATGAGTGATGAAACTCTGGTGTTTGTTGAAGCAGTAGGAGATGTCCAACTTTATTTTAATAGTTATAAACATTTGGTTTTGTAAGACTGCTTTTATGTTCCTCAATTTAAGAGGAATCTTATTTCTGTCGCTTGTTTATTTACATATTCTTATTCAGTTTTTTTTTTAAATAATAAAGTCATGATTCATAAAAACAAGTCTTTTATCTGTGATAGATGGATGCAAAAAATAATTTATATTTTATTAAACCTAAGATAGACTTATTGTTTAACACTGAAGTTGTAAATAACTCTTAAAGGCTTAAAATTCTCATTCTAATAAGATATATTTTTGCATTTACAACTTGATCACATTAGCCTAAACAATATACAAAGGTTGGTAAAGAAAAAACCTTAAAGTCCCTTAGAGGTTTTGCCTATACCACTGTGTGAGTCTTCTATGGAAGGCAAGATGACTTAAAAGACCATTCGGGTCTAAGACAATAAGGTTAAAGGGGTTCTAAAACTTCTGCACAATGATCATTGTGGCCCCATAAATGTTAAGACACGAGAAGAGTATGATTGTACGAGTATTACGTCATATTTATTGACGATTACTTAAGATATGATTATGTGTACTTAATACAACACAAAAATAAAACTTTTAAAAAATTTAAAGAGTTTCGAGCTGAAATAAAAAAATAATTAAGTAAACCCATAAATGTATTTTGATCCGATTAAGGTGGAAAATACCTTTCCGGTGAGTTCATAGAATACTTATTAAAAAATCAGATACTATCCCAATTACTGTGTCAGGCACACTGCAACATAATTGTGTAGCTGAGAGAGAAAATATGATTTTGTTGGATATAGTACGATTCAGGATGAGTTAGTCTACATTGTCTATAGCTGTAGATCCAACGAGATCTAATGATGAATGAACCCTATTGGACTTGACTCGATCTAATGAATCTCCTTTGTGAATGGACATCCGTCACGATCCAAGCCTCCTAGACCTTGCCCGACGTGCTCATCGCAGATTTGGTGTTATCGCGTATTGCCTGAGACAAACGTTTGTCGAAGTATGCAGGATCTAGTCACTGGAGTTTGGATGGAGAGAGGGACGAAGAAGATAAGGGAGAAAGGAAAGATAGAGGGGGAGAAAAAGGAGAGAGAAGAGAAATTGAAGAAAGCAAATATTTGACTGGCACTGATTGGAGATTGGATTTGATCTGGGCATCTTCGCAACAACTGAGCTGATTTGAGAGAGAAATAGCACGAGGGGCTAGGTAGAGCGTTGCACGAGGTAGGGGAGAGAGAATCAGAGCAGGTGAAAGAGAAGGAGACAAATTTGAAATTTGATGAGAGAGAAATGAATTTTTAGAGAGAGAAAATGAAGATATGAAAATATAACCCAAGTAAAATAAGGGATAAAATGGTCTTTTCGAAAACAATTATATATAAAAATAGTTTTTATTTTTTAAATTCAAGTGAAAGGGATAGTTTATTAGAATGGTAGAAATTCTGAGCTGGATGATTTGAAGGTAAAATGTACAATTTTCTAAAAAAACTCTTTAAAATAAATACATTAAAAAAATATTATAGTGTAGAGAATCTTAAAAAAAAAAAAAAAAAAAAAAAACGAAAGTAAAAAACCAAAAAAATTAAGCATGAAACTTTTCGACCTATGAGAACAAAACGCATAGTTACTTTTTGCTGCTTTTAATGTAGTAAAGATTATTTCTTATAATTCTGATCAAATTTAACGTTTATCACATAAAATCATTTACGTTTGTTTCTTATATTCGTTCTTGATTCTAAATCATAATTTATGGTTATCTATAGTATTTTCTCTCACAAAAAATACACGTAAAACGAGAATGATTCTGAATCGTGATTCTGAATACATAAACCAAACGTCCTCATTCTAAGTAAAGAGAACGGTTCAAAACTGTGCGATATGAGTGAGGTATTTTTGTACGCGAAGTGAAGGATGTGTTTGGAGTTGTTTTTATTTTTATTTTTTATATTTTTTGAGAAAGAAAAAATAAAAACGGAAGAAAAACGGCGTTTGTCACAATTAAAGACAAAAAATAGAAATGAAAACGACTTTTTGATTTAGTGTAAAATGAGAGAGAAATGAAAAATGACTTTTAGTCATTTTTTATTTTTTGTTTCCGTTTTCTCCTCTCTCGAGCAGAGATGGAGAGATGGACATTAATGGATTTTTTTATATTGAAAACAATATCTTAATAAAACTACAAATTGTATTTTTAAAAATGATTTATGTCTGAGATTGAAAACGTTTTCATT